TTTCAGCGCCGTTAAGTCGACGAAACCGAGGGCGGCGTTACGTTTGAAACCAACTCTGGCTTATTCCTCCTTTTTTTTGTCTTGTTTTTGTTGCCCATGACTTGAAATTGGAAAAGACGGGCGGGTACAGTTAGCAAGCGTCAAAAGGAGACGACTTCTATTTCCGTTGGGTAGCAAAAACAAGAATATCGGGCAAATTACAAAAAAAAAAGTATGTAAAAAAGGCGGCTGTAGGATAATTCGAGTCTACGGTATACATTTCACGCAAAGAACTTTCCAATGCAGTTTTTCGTTGTCTCCTGACACCCATACGAAGAGATAAGATACACAAACATACAAACACGCACGCATGCACGCACGCACACACGCACGCACGCACGCACGCACACGCACGCACGCACCTATTGGCATATTATGCACGTAATTCAATTTTCTTCAATCCCGCATATCTCAAGAAGCCGCCGTATGCTACCAGCGGAATGATACTCACAGTTACTCTACTTGTAGCTTTAGACTTTTTGTCTTCAAATAGCTTAAAAATAAAAAAAAACGGGAGTTAGAAGCTCCTGATTACTCATTGTGAAGCGGTAGTTTTTGTTTGGTCTTCAAAGCAAACACGATCTGTAGTTAGAACATTAAAAACGAGGGTGCTGGTAAATATACTTAAACAACCGGAATGGATAAACAGAAATTCGGTTGTTTACGTAGTTATAATCCTGACTTTTTATTATATAAAAAAAAAAAAGAAACGCTTCCGATGATCTTGTCGGTGCGCTGACATTAGTTTATGACTGCCTCATTATCATTTTTTGTATTACCAGCTTGATTTCTCTTACTTTTAAATGCTGACTTTTCCAATTTCGACCCCATAGCACACTAGGAAAAGGCCTAGCTTGCCACAAGCTCGGCAATCCCTGGGGCCCACATTGTGCCTACTACAGTTTTACTCCGAGGCGTTAGTGAGTGCCAAGGTACTGTTTTCTGGTGTTGCTAGGACTTTTTGGTCGCTTTTTTTATAATTGAACAATTGCGAAAGTAAGCTTAAGATGCCACACATCAGGGATCGGCAGTATTTCAAATACAAGTATTTGAAATACTCATTTCAAATACTTTGTGTATTTTGCATTTGTATATAATTACAAATTGGGTAATGTATTTTACGTGTCTATTAAAATACTAAAATGTGGGTATTTCAAATACAGTTGTAATTAAATACAATTTTGTGGGCAAAAATACATCCCTCAAATTTATTGCCACGACTCATTTTGCTCATCCTAAGACGTGTCCAGAGCAGGAAGAAAACTACGTTCTTCACTGAATGCAGTGTCCCTCAATCAAGCACAAGCGTTTAGTGACTTTGTGATTACGGTGCTAGTCCAGGGCAAGAATAAGGACGAAATCGACGTTCACAGGCAGACTGGCTAAATAAGTACCTGTGAGAACTTGTGGTGCTTAACAGCCTGATTTCCATCTATATTTTTGCCTGGAACATTCTAAATGCGCGGGTCATCCAGAATTTCGTAGCTGGTGCGAGTTCCAACGATAAAAAATTCTCTGGCTAGTGCTATGCGTCTTGGTCGTCTCGGTTCTTTGAAAAAGCTGCTTAAAGCTCTGTACTTTTTTCACCAATCACGTCCAAGCTGATTACATTTTTTTGTGAGTATATTTCTATTACGTTACTAGAGCCTCGCACACTAACTCCCGAGTGTGCAATGCAAAATTAAAATGAGATACCCAGAAACCCATTGCAGGTGCCCTGAAGTCGCTGACGCAAATTTTGAGGAATGTATTTGGACAAGTATTTGGAGGAGACCAAATACATTTGGTTGTATTTGTATCTTGTATTTAAATGCTTTTTTGGAAATGTAATCAGATTTGTAATTAAATAAATTTTTGACGAAATATTTTGTATTTGTATTTCAATACACATTTGCATGTATTTTGTCCATCCCTGCCACACATGAACCAAATAACCAGCAGCGAAGCCTCAATCTGGCACACCCATTGGAATAAAGGTCCAAAGTTTCCACATAAAAACCGAACAGCCAGATATGACGCAAAACCCTGCCGCTTTCTTGGTGATTTAGGCCAAATGGATTGCAGACGACAGCCAAACTACCAGCAGTGTAGCCAAACTATGGCCATTGTTCGGCTAATCGGAGCCAAAACGGGTCAAAGCATATCAAGTTAAGGTATGCCTTGTCGTCTTCGATCTTTTTAAGAACCTAAATTCATAGAGAAGGTTAAATTTCGCTCGAAGGACGGTGGACCATGAGAACCTATTTTAATCGAAGGTTGATTAAGGCTAACCTAGGAAGCGATAGAATGTGTATTTCGTGTTTTACCTGAAATAATCAATCCTCAACACTGAGACACTGGTGTACAGTGTTTACGCAAGCATGATATCACCGTTTTTGTTTGTTACATTTTCCTTGCAGAGGATTTATAAAATGGCAAGTCATGACTTCTCCGTCTGGTTCGCATGCAAGCATACAACCCTGCACTTGTCGGTTTGAACACTTTTTATTTGCAAACTATGTTGGAATCTCAACAGATTGGCCAAGATGTGAGAAATGTACTGACAGTTTACATTTCATCTTAAAAAATCAATATAAGCAAGCAAAAGAAAGACTAGATCAGCTTTTACTTTGCGCAAGGATGTGAAATAACGTTTAATTGTTTCAAATATTTAACAAACCTTCTGCAGGGAAAAAAAATTCCAGATGAAACATTTCATACAACAACACACCAGCCGAAATAGCTACTTAATAAATCCTATTCTTTCGGAAGGCACACATAGTAATGGTTCATATTTGTGTAAAACGAAACACCCGTATTACATTTTGCTGGGATAGCAGTTAGTGGCACACTTCGCGGGTTTCGCGCCGTCGACCGCGCTCCATATCGACGCGGGCCATTTTCGGCGCTCCGCCAAAATATTCCACATTGACGTCACGCCGGAGTCGTCACGCCGCGCCTCATATCACCCGTTACCTGGCGTACGCTGACACCATGACGTGGCATTGTCATGTCACGTCACGTTGCACAGTAAAGCCACCCCACTTTATGACGTCAGGTGATACCATGAGTCACGTGATGTTGTGATGTCACGTGACATGACGTCGTCACGTCACGCCATGAAGGCACGCAGAAACAAACATGAAACTAATACTGATGAAAATAATAAAAACGAAGCTTTTCGCTAAGTATGCCCAGAAAGGTTCTCGAGCAACAAGACTAAACAAGCTAGGTGGGTGTTAAACCGGCGAAACCACGGGCGTGATAAAATGGAAACTTGGGCGAGTTGGTGGTTCATATTCTAAGGTTAACAGCGCAAGACCAATCACACAGAGCGACACACAAAAGGGCAAACGCACGCAATGACTTACAAGTCGTTTTGTTGTCTGTTACTTCTTTGTTCTCGTCATTTGGTTGACTCTCGCAATCTCAATGACCAGCGCAATAGCACGAATACAGGAAACACTTCTAAATATGCTTCTAAATTCTTACCTCAATATTAGGGATAAAAATTTCAGCTCTTTTTGAGACAGTGTTAAGGACAGACTACTAACAAACTTGTCAGCGAGAAGCACTATTTTTTGAGCCTCCATTATCTTTCTGGCAAGCGGGTCCCGACTTCTTCCTATTACAGAACATTGTTTCAAAATTCGCAACGCATCCACAATTTTTATAGTGTATGCCCAGGTGTCCCGAAACGACTTTGTGGGCGTTGTAAAAATTCTTTCTTAAACCATCGTTTCAACACCTGCCGGTTTGTCCTATATATGAAAATGTAATAGAAAAACTACCCCCTGGATTCAAGTAACAAAGCTCTTTAGGTGGACTTTTGCACAACCAGCTTGGCGGTGTGCTAACGTTTTTTTTTAAAATTTTACCCTAAAAATTGCGGTGAGGATTCAGAAGCATATTTAGAAGTGTTTCCTGTATTCGTGCTATTGTGCTGGTCATGGAGATTAGGAAAGTCAACCCAATGACGAGAACAAAAAGGTAACATAATACAAAACGAGTTGTAAGTCAGGGCGTGTGTTTTTCCTTTTCTGTGTCTCTGTGCATGATTGGTCTTGCGCTTTTAACCTTAAAACACGGGCGTGAAATGGGATCGAGCTGCACGCTTGAAACCTGAGTGCACTATTTTGTAAGTGTTCTTCAGCGACCACAAGGCTGTGTTAGTTTGTGTCCACTAACATCGCGTAAGACGTTCAGGCAGCCACAGCAACGCCAGGGAACGATTCCCTAGTAAAAAAAATCATTTGTATGAGAAATTTCTTGTGTCCAATAAACACATATGAATCATACAAGATATATAAGAACATACAAGAACATATAAGAACCATATAAGTATTAAATGAGAACTAAATAAGAATTATATAAGATATATAAGAACCCCATAAGAAACTTATAAGAAAGTTCCCGCTAGTTTCTCATATGGTGCTTGTGTGTTCTCATATATCTTATATAGTTCTTATATAGTTCTTATATGGTTCTTATACGGTTCTTATATGTTCTTATATATCTTGTATGATTCATATGTGTTTATTGGACACAAGAAATTTCTCATACAAATGAGAATTTTCAGTAGGGTTCATGCATACACGTGCAACTTCGTCGTTCCCAGGATTTCAAACATGGACGCGTCATTTCGAAGTGTTCCTCAATTTCCACAAGTCATTACGAGTTTGTGTCTACTAACATTTTTAACAGCTTCACGAAATGCTTTCTAGTTAATGCACCGTCATTGGTTCCAAAACACTATGGCATTTTCGTCCGGTCTGTTACACGGTTTAGTAGGAACCTCCCATGCAGGCGCTACGGTGCGCGCTTGCAACTTTACCGCTCATTCCGTCCATCTGCTCCGAAATGACACCTTAGCGGCTCTTACGTCCCACCTCGGGCGTCGCAGTGTTTCACATTACGGGTTGCTTAAGTGTTTAAAATTTTTATATTATTGAGATGCAATGTGCTTCCTTCAATATCTGAGTTTAGCCTGCAATGCACGGATGGCGAATAAAACTTGTGCCGACAAGAAAACAAACAGCAGTTCTTGCGGTGTTCAAGCTCCGACCACCGCGCGTGCCCGCTCGTCCCCCGGTTGTCGGCCCTCTTTATTCTCGTCTTTTTCCGTTCCCCACACATTCCTTCCCCCTTCGGGGGAGGGGAGCGCTTGGTTTTGATGGCAGTGATGGCCGCCTGCAGGAAGCGGTCGTCCTCATTGAAAAGGAAGTGGTCCTCGATCAGCTGCTGCTGCCTCTTTTTGCCTATGCCGGTCAGTGGGTAGTAGGTGGCCTTCGGCTCGCCCTCCAGCATGCGCAGAGTCGCGCTCAGTTTTTCCTCCATCTCGCGGTATTGGGCCTCCGTCAGGCACGGGTTGAAAGGGTAGCCCTGCAACGAGCGTCCGCAGCGCACCCCGGTGGAAATGGCGAACTGGTCGTCGGGGTCCACGTTCACCAAGCTGCTGAGGTCTTCGAAGTCCGTGAGTCTTGAAGCCGCCGTGGTAGCACTAGATCACCAGGTTGAACAGGCCGGCGAATAGCGTGTACGACTCGGCATCCGGGGCGCACAGGCCGACTTCGCTGTCGAGGTTCTGCACGCCGGACTGTATGATGTCGACCAAGGTGGCTCCCAAGGCGGTCTTGCGAGTCTTGAGCTTTTCGAAGATTTCCGGAGGACCGTACGATGGTAGTGGGACTCCGAACGGTATCTGACTTGGGGTGCAAAGCATCCTTGAAAGGGTGCGAATGGGTGAGCTTGGGGCGGCGCGACGGCTGGCGGGAAGGACGGTGGAAGCAGATTCTGGCTTTTGGCGCTCTGAGCTTCGAGTGAAAAGTGTTGACTCTCGACGCGTGCGCTAGAACGGGAGGCGTTCATTGTGGTCGTGGTGTTAACGTCCACTCAGATGCGCGATCCACTCATCGCTACGGCGTTGGCAGAGAAGTGCTTGGCCGCTCGAGAAGGGCTCTGCCGGCCGCTCCTCTTCCTGCGGCTCTGTAGCGACTGTGCCTGTCCGCTGGGATATGCACTCCCGGCGTCCTCGGAATCCTATGGTCTGAGCACGTCCGGTGTCCTATACCGCGTTCGGGGCAGTTGGCTTGCTGAATAAGGCAGGAGGGAGGTGGCAAAGAGGCGAATTAAAGCTTGTCAAGCATGACATCTTCGTGTGCGTGTGCTGCCTGGTCAGGCGCCCTAAGCCTCTCGGGGCAAAATCTCTACATGACGATGAGCGCCGCCTCGACGTCGGCGGGTGTTAGCGGCCGATTTGCTGCCGATGCACTTTTCTCTAGTCGTTGGCGACGCTCGGTGTCGAGGGCCGCGTGTAGATGACTCCCCGCTCTCATGGGCACCTGGCACAGTGCGCATAACCCGGCACGCTCATCGTCGGCGTAGGTCAACGGTGTGTCCTCTGCGCACCACTCATTCAGGGTGCGTCCCTGGATTGGGGCTGGGACGTCGGCCGGCGTCAGTGTTTGTGGGACTTGTGGTTCTCGGTGCGAGCGCAGGCGGGAAGCGAACCCCACGAGGCTGTGATGCTCCATGATGCACCACGTCGCAGCTTCATGGGTTCGGGGGCGTCGCCGTGGGTGCTGAGGAGGCGGCCGATGGCCCAGACTGCGGCTGCCGGGGGAGCGCGACCGATGGTAAGAGGACCGCCGCGGGGGTGAAGGGCGTGGTCGTGATCATGGTCGGTCTGGCGGCATGGCTGCAGATAGTCGAGGTCAAGAAGAGGCACAATTAAACTAGATGGAGACGACGTTACTGAACTCTCAGCACTTTTCGCCACGTTCAATAAAAGGTTTCAAGTCATCGATGTTAACAGGCCCGAAGCGTGCGCCGATTATGGAGCACCGTATTCGATATGCGAGGCGCGTAATTCGCGTTTCGACCACGAATGGCCCGTCCCTTCGTTTGGCGAGTGAAGCGGAAAATCCTTGGCTGGCTTTACTGAGTTGGTGAGTGCGTCGGAGAACTAGATCTCCGACAGAAAATTCGACATTTCTCCGGCCTTTATTATATTGAATTAGTTGTCGTGATTGGACTAGGTTGATATTCCCCCGGTCCATTTCACTGTATTTCGAATATTATCGCAGATTCTTTGCGTAAACCTCGAGTGTGATTGGCGCGGACCAGCATCTGGCGCAAACTCTATATTGTTTTCCATGGGTACTCTGAGCTCCCGACCAAAATTCAATCGTGCCGGTGTGAATCCCGGGGTTCGGGTTTCTGTGGTACGGGCAGCAAAGGCCATCCCTGGGATATAAGAGTCTAACTCGCGGTTTTCGTTAGTGTCCAAAATTAGCATTGCCCGGAGGTTGCGATTTACTCTTTCAGCGATATTGGCCTGGTGGTGACAAGGGTAAGGAAAATTATGTTGGATACCGAGAATCTCACAACAATTTTCAGATACAGTGCTGGCGTAGTAGGTGGCCTGGTCTGTTAAAAGGACAATAGGATACCCAAACCGGGAAAATGTTTCTCGAAGTTTGTCCCATATCATCTTGGACGTAAGTTGACGCAGGGGATGAAGGTCGACCCACTTGGAGAAGTGCTAAGTGACCACAAAAAGGTACCTGTTGCCTTCTGGGCTGCGTGGAAATGGGACTATGATATCACACGCAACAATTTCCCAAGGACGATGACTCTGAACCTACTGCATATAACTCAGGGGCTTCCAGCCTCAGGGTTTTGCTGTCTGGCATTGAGGACAGCTGCGGGTATAACGCAGGACAACACGGTTCATTCGAGGCAAGGGTGCAATTCGGCAGAGCTTTTGGTGTTTTTTTCCCCATCACTGTGACCTGCCAGGACACTGTCATGAAAGTAACTTATAAAAGTACGTCGTAATATTTTCGACACGACTACACGGAATGGCGACGTGGTAGGGTCACCCTCACCTGCTTGAGGTCTGTATCGAAGTAAAACGCCATCGTTACTCTGGACGTAGGTGTCTGTGGATGCATCAGTCATGTCCTGTCCCCTGGAGCTGAGTTGATTTACCGCGTAAATATCTGCTGGCACAGATCGTCTGCTCGCTGGGCTCTTAGCAGCTGTTCCCGGTTCACGACTACACCCCAGGCAAGTTCCTCGTTAGTAACAGCGACCAACTCCGTCGCTTCTTCCTTTTCCTGGGGTGGAAGGGGGGCGCGAGACGTGGCGCCCGCCGCAATGTTGGATTTGCCAGGCCGGCACACAATGGACAAATTGTATCCGTGTAAGGTGAGAGCCCGTCGAGCTAGACGTCCTGCTGGGTTTTTACGATTTTTCAGCCAGGTCAACGCTTGGTCGTCCGTCTGAATTGTAAAGGTGGCTCCGTCAAGGTACATATCGCACTTCTTTAGGGAAATATTATTGCTAGGCACTCCTTTTCGGTGGAGGTATAGTTACGCTCCGCTGCCGTCAGTGTGTGGCTCGCAAATGCAACGGGTCATAAGGCCCCATTATGTTCCTGTAGAAGCACTACTCCTAGTCCGTGGTCGCCGCCGTCGGTTTGTAGCTCAAATGTGGCATTCAGATCGGGAAGTCTGAGGGACGCTGTATCGGCAATGGCGACTGCCAGCGTTCTAAAGGCTTACTCGTGAGCAGCAGTTCAATTCCATGGGACATCCTGGCCCAGCAGCTCATGAAGAGGTCGTGCCAAATCGGCATAGTTCGATATAAATTAGCGGTAGAATCCCACCATGCCAAAATATCACTGTAAACTCTTTTTGTCCTGAGGAGTTAGAAAATTTTATCATTGCTTTCAACTTCTCCTCCTGTGGATGGAGGAATCCATAATACCTGCCAAGTTTTACGATTTTATCGTAAAGTGTCCGCTATCCGGCGCTTTCTTACGGTCATCTTATTAGCAACAATATTTTTACAAATTTCCGCACCCCGTGTAAAAAAAAAAAAAAGTTTTTTTTTTTTTTTTCGCCTGTTTACAAGTTGGGGTTGGCAACCCTGGTAAATTCACTTGTATGCCAGGACGTGGAAGCTACCGCTCCTCGTTGTGAGGCAATTGTCATTGAGGTCAGTGTTCTAAGGTGTGGTATAGCCGCTAACATCTATCCATCCATCTTAATCCAGTACTGTTTAAGAAATCTCCTTTGTTGTGGCGACATGGGTTGTGGCGAATGTTGTGCTTTGTGTTACTAGAACTTTTACTCATGATCCTTTGAAACCATCTTTGGTACAAGATGTCGGGAAAAAATACTTGCAAGTGTTTATTCCCAGCTATTCAACCGACTTTCCATTTATAAAGACGTCGCGTGAGGGCGAAAGGTACGGATCTGGTAGTCTGTGTCCCCGAGAAGTCAACATTTTGCACGCTGGTGTCTATCATTTGAATACAAAAAAGCACAAGGGCTCTGCAAAATTAGTTGAAACCTAGGAGAAACTTCGAGGGTATTTTATTCGATCAACGGATTACGACACTACCCGAGCAGAATGCCTTTTTACGGCATTTTTGATCAAGCACAACGTGCCGTTCACAGCGGTTGTTGTGGAGACGTTACAGAGCAAGAACTTTGCTCTTTGACGTCTTCGTTAAACCAGGCACAGGCGAAAGAGTTTTCAACAAAGTGAAGAAGGCACAAACGCAGTCCGCTCCTCTATGTCGAAAAAGACCCTTGAACAGTTGTTAGTTGTGAGGTGCAGCCAGTCCGGAAAGTGCCATGAACAAGTGTTCAACAACAACTTCCTAAGAAAAGCAAAAGCTGCAACTTCCTCAATGTTGGCCCAACCTTGAACTTCTAAAGAATAAGACGTTTTGTGCTATGTATTATGTGTTTGTGCCCTAGTTGAGGAATTTTTCTTACCTAAACCAAGTTCTTGAAGAATAAAACAGTTTTTGTATTTCTTCACACGATTGTAGTGTTTTTGGCATCCCCTGTAGTATTTTCAGCATTGTAGGGTTGACAGCTCTGCATGCTCCACCACGAATCCAAGAAGCGGTACCCTACTTGAAGCCAGCTGTACTTTTTTTGGGTTAATCGTCAGTCCTGCATCACTCATCCGCTGCAGAACAAACTGCAAATGGGTAATGTGGTCGTCCAAGGTCTTTGAAAACACCACTACGTCGTCCATGCAAGCCATTGCACAGTTAAATTTATTATCTCTCAAACGGTGTCCATGACCCTCTGGAAACTTGCGGGAGAATTAGACAGGCCAAAAGGAAGTCGATCGAATTCAAATAGGCCCCTATGGCAAATGAAGGCCATTTAGGAGGGTCAGCCTTGGCGACAGGAATCTGGAAAAACCCTCTACTACAGTCGAAGAGTCGAGAAAATGCTTGCCGATCCCAGTGCATACATTACGTACGAGATCGATGGGAAAAGGTATGCATCCCTTCTCGTTATGGCGTTAAGAGGTCGAGAGTCCACGCACAAACGCGCTGTTCCATCTTTCTTGAGCTCCAGGACAATAGGAAAGGCCCATGGACTGTTTGAGGGGCGTACCGTTTTGGTATCGATCATTTGTTCTAACGCGCGGTCAAGCAGCTCTCTTTTATGAACACTCAAGGGGCGCGCATTGAATCGAATTGGTCGGGCATCCCCGGTATCGATTTGATGTTCTAGTATATTAGTCTTCCCGGGAATCTCAGTGAACATGTAAGAAAGCAGCTTCAGCACTTTCGCAAGACGTTCCCGCTAAATATCTGTCCCAGAGAATGAACTGAAGGCTACATGTATATTTTGTCCTACGTCGTTGATTAGCGAAACGTCTGCATTTTGTTTAGAACGGCGTGCTTCGCCTCGTGGTAGACGCTCTGGTATTGCCTGAGGTCTCACTGGAAAACTTAAAGGGGTTGAGATCCAGCCACACCGGTATTCTTCCATTGCGAGGTCTAGGATGGTGCCCTCTCTTGTTATAAAATCCCTCCCAAGAATGGTGCCACAAGCGAGACCTGGTAGGGAAGTAAGGTATTGCTGACATTTCCGTCCATCATAGGAGAGTTGCAAGCGAGCTCTCTCGCTGGCGGATATTACTTCGTTCGATGCAACGCGCACCGTTTTTTGCGAGGATCGCATAGATATACTACGGTCTTTACACGATTGTTTTACAAAGTCTCCAAAAAGAGATATTGGGGCACCCGTATCTGAAAGTGCTGCAATTTTCTGCCCGGCAAAGTCAACTATGATGTAAGGTTCTCTGGCTCCGTTTCTGGTTCGTCGCGTCGCATCAAGAGATGGAACAAAATCGATTGGTGCACAAAAACGAAATGCCCAAAGCAGTTTGGCGGGAGTCCCACTTACCCGCCGGACGCTAAACCATGTTTGTAGTGCCGTCATCATCGGGATGAAGCGGGCAACTCATTGACCGGTCCGTCCTATCCACTCACTACTGGAGCGTGGTTTGGGTCTGACCTGTCGCGGGTTATTGTCCCGTGATGTACGAGCTGTCCGAGTCCTACAACCGGTATTCAATTCCGATGAGATACCCAGCTTTGCAATGTCATGCGGAGTGACTCCAAGAACGTCTGGGTTTTATAAACAAATAAGTGGAAATACTTTGACGGGCGGTAGTTACATTACTAGACCCCGTAGAAAAGCACAATATATCAGTATGCTGTAAAACAAGAAGTAAAAACAAGAAGCCAGTTGAAAAAGAAATAGCGAGAGAGGGTGGATTACATACAAATTTAGAAACCAAGACAGATGACGTTATCATTTTTTCGTTTGAGATATTTTAAATACATATCAACATCGGCATAAAAAAAAAGAATGTTTGTGCTTTATATAGGTGTCGTCATATTGTCAAACTATTCAAATCTATCGTGGCGGCCTGTGTCACATTCAGAGAGTTTCATCTTTCTGTGATACCTATGTTTATTTATGAGGTTTAAAAAATCGAGCTTCAGTTTTGCTTTCGGCTCCTGTGGAACGTTGCAGAGGCAACGCGATATGCGATATCGGCAGCCGGTGGCGTATACGGACGACGCGAAAAATAACTTTTTTTTACACAGCCAGCTGTGCAACCCAACCTTGGTATATACAGTAGTATAATATTTTCAATGCATTAAATACGTAATCATTTGCAACGTAACACCCTATTCTCAGAAGTTTCTCCCTACGTCAGTTTGTCCATGCATACCTCCGCGGTGCGCAGATGGCATAGCATCTAAGCTCAACCGGCTTGGTTACCATGACCACATAAAAAAAAAATACCCGAATGAATTCTCAAAATTGCATCAATATATACTCATCCCCACCATAAGGAACAAAGTCAAAACATATTTCCTTGAAGGCGATCGCCTGCCTTAGATTATTGTAAAAACATGTAACTTTTATGTGTTCTTATTGTAAATATAGTGCCCTTAATATGTCTCTCTTGCATGGTGTTATGAAGTGTTGTGATGGGTTAATGTCAGACATGCGTTGGATGATTTTGTTGATAATGACGATGTTAACGTCAATGAATACAGGTTCCTCTTGTTTTTTTTTGTTTTATTGTGACGCATTGCTTATGTTCATACGTTTATATGCATGATATTGATCGCAAGGTTTACTGATCCCTATGTTTATTTATATCTTGTTGTTAAATTATTGTATGCTGTTTCTGTTGACTGCTATAAGAAGGGGGGGGGGGGGCTGGCGGCCTCGTCAGAGGGCTTTTTTGCCTTCTTTTGCTGCAGCCCCCAAGACGTATGTATGACACATGCATGTCTGAAATAAACCATTCTATTCTATTATATTATATTCTATTCTATTCTCAATCAATCCCAGAACCTCTCCTTCAGTAGCCTGACGCTTTACCCCCTGCACCTGGTTTTAAATCTTCCAAGTTAGCCGGCCAATATGATCTACTTCTACAACAAAAACAGCAAAGGCAAGATAGAATCTCAAGAACGGCTTTCTTTTATTCTCGCCAACTTCCGAAGCATTCTTCCGAAGCAAGATCATTTACTTTCCAGCATTGAAGCCTGTTCAGCTGATATAGTTATGGGCACAGAAACGTGGCTTACCCAGGAAGTCTCCGATTGTGAACTAAGTATATCTAGAACTTTTCGGCTGTATAAGAAAGATAGGAGCGCGTCACGATGCGCGGGAGTTATCATCGCTGTTAAAAATGAACTAATCTCTTCCCGCATTGATATTCCGAGCCCTCTTGAAATGTTCTGGGTGACGGTGCGGTTGAATTTCAGGTCTTGCTTGATTGGTGTGTGTTACGGCCCACCCGACTGCTGATGTGATTTTGTGGAAAACTTAAACGCAAGTCTGGAACAGGTGCAAGCAAGATTCCCTAGCTGCCCCATCATACTGACTGGCGATTTTAACTTACCTGGTATAAACTGGAATACGAAAGTAGCCGATGAACTCTGTGGAAACAAACAGCAATAGATAAAATCTCAAGATACTATGGAAGCATTTCAGCTTCAACAAATTGTTAACCAGCCAACCCGTAACGACAATATTCTAGATTTAGTTCTAACTACTCATCCCCATTCTATTGATGTTGATGCTTTAGAATATATCAGCGCCCACAAGATGGTACATTGTGTTTTTACTACCCCAGTTCAGAGACGTGACGTTCTGAAGACACAGATATCTGATTATACAAGGGCCGACCTTCAAAAAATGTCAAATATGTTGTCTGAATTTTCTTTCGATTTTTTTTTTGTTGAATTGCCGATCAGTAAATGACAGCTGGGTGTCTTTCCGAAATAAAATGATTGAGGTAAAAGAGATGTGTAACCCAAAACATTATATTTTACCATGTGCTAGTAATCCCTGGTTCACGACAACTGTGCGACGGTGTATAAATAAGAAAAAGAGACTTTATTCAAAAGCCAAGCGTTCGGACGCCCAGGACGATTATGAGTCTTATCGTTCAAATTCAGGGTCTTGCAAAAAATAAATCAGGAGAGCCAAATTTAAATTCTTCAACAGCGACCTGTCTAACATCTTGAAAACCAACCCGAAGAAATTTTGGATTGTGGTGAACCCTAAACCAAAGAATTTACGCCTTTCTATTTTTTCAGAAGGGTGTAGTGTTTTGAGCACATTGGAGACAGTAAAGGTATTTAACTCTTTCTTTGGTAGCGTCTTCACGGATGAAATGCCCTTGGCTAATAATATGTTAATATCTTCAACGTCCGCTAAAATGGACACATTTATCATCACCACTGAGGGAGTTGCCAGTGCAATAGATCGACTGCCAACAAATTCAAGCCCTGGTCCGGACGGAATAAGCACAAAATTGCTGAAATTAAAAAAAGACATATCCAGCAAACTTTTAGGAGCACTCTTCCAAAAGTCACTTTCTACTGGAGCCCTACCCGGCGATTGGAAACTGGCCCATGTCATCCCTATTTACATATCTGGCAATCGCGACTCCCTCACAAATACAGACCCATCTCTCTTGCGTTTCATGAAAATTACTGGAACACATAATTTATTTTCAGACTATGAAGTATCTTGTGACTAACAACCTTCTCTTTTCAAACCAGCATGGTTTCCAACAGGGACATTCCTGTGAACTTCAACTTTTCGAGTTAATTACGGACCTTCATAAAAGTATTCACTCCTCCCCCGGAACTGACGCAATTTTTACTGACTTTTCTAAAGCCTTTTTTTGTGTTCCGCATACAAGGTTAATAAAAAAAAGTGACAGGTGCTAATATAGAAACGGGTGTCATTAAATGGATCTCAGACTTTCTTTCAAATAGACGTCAGTGTGTCGTTATCGATAACATAATCTCTCCCCCAATAGCCGTAAAATCTGGTGTACCGCAAGGATCAGTACTTAGGCCACTCCTCTTCTTACGATACATTAATGATATTCACGTAAACATTCAGTCCAGGATCCGACTTTTTGCAGACGACTGCGTCATCTACCGAACTATATCTTCCCCCTCTGATAGCGCATTACTTCAGGCAGATCGAGACAAAATTTCACTATGGTGTGTTGATTGGCAAATCCAGATAAATACGGATAAAACGAAACAAATGACGTTCACTAGAAAAACCAACACTCCCGAGCATTCTTATCAAATTAATGGTGTAGATATAGAAAAGGTGCAATGATTGAAGTATTTAGGGGTTCACCTCACAGTAGTGTTATCTTGGAAATTACATATTGAGATAATATTACGAAAGGCTAATCAAACCCTGGTATTCCTGAGAAGAAACTTGTTTTTATCTGACACAAAAACAAAACTAAGGGCATATACATTCCTTGTAAGAAGCAAAATAGAATATGCGTCAGTTATTTGGAATCCCCACCAATCCTATCTAGTTAATGAATTAGAGTCTCTCCAAAATAAAGCATCCTGGTTTATAACACGCAATTATTCAACCACCTGTAGTATAACAAGTATAAAAGAGTCCTTAAATTTAGCATCTCTCAAGAACAGAAGGCGAATCGCCCGTTTTTCTTTATTTCATAAAATATATCACTCTTCTACACCTTTCCGTCAAACACACAATGTTCCAGCTAACCGTATCTTCCCACGGCGAGACCACCCCAACAAAGTAACCCCAATTTTTGCACGCACTAACCTATACAAATGCTCTCCTTTTAACCTTGCCGTTTCTGAATGGAATGCCTTACCGTATGATATCGCAGTGACACAGGATTATCAGGCTTTTTTAAATCCCCTGATTCCTTTCATTTCACAAAAAAACATAATCATGTTTGCCTCTTGTCGCAGATAGGCCATAGTTCTGCAGTGTTTTCTTGGTTTTCTTTTTGTATTTGTATAATGTCACCATTGAAGTGCAGCAATTGAACTTTGTGATTATGTATACTGCTTTTTTGTGTGCCGCGGCTTTCTTTTCTTTTCTTTTTTTTCTTGTTTTCTGTGTATCACTACTGTGAACGTGTTCCTTTTGTATGAATTCCCCCCATGTAATGCCCGAAAGGGCCCTTAGGGTAAATGAATAAATAAAATAAATACACATACCAGTAAACTACAGTTTTTCTAATGCAAGCATGATGATGTAGAGCAGGGATGGGCAAAACACATGCAAATATGTATCGAAATACAAATACAAAATACTTCGTCAAAATGTATTTAATTACAAACCTAATTACATTTCCAAAAAAGCATTTAAATACAAGATACAAATACAACCAAATGTATTTGGTCTCCTCCAAATACTTTTCCAAATACATTCCTCAAAATTTGCGTCAGCGACTTCAGGGCACCTGCAACGGGTTTCTGGGTATCTCATTTTAATGCTGCATCGCACACTCGGGAGTTAGTGTACGAGGGTCTAGTAACGTAATAAAAATATAATCACGAAAAATTTAATCAGCTTGGACGTAATAGGTGAAAAAAGTAAAGTGTTTCAAGCAGCTTTTTTTGTCGATTACATTTTAGTATAGACCAACAAAGAACCGAGACGACCAAGACGCGCCGCACTAGCTAGAGAATTTTTTTATTGTTGCAACTCGCATCAGTTACGAAAATCTGGACGACCCGCGCATTTAAAATGTTAGTCAAAAATATGGACGGAAATCAGGCTGGAAAGCATGACAAGTTGTCACAGGCACTTATTTAGCCAGTCTGCCTGTGAACGACGATTTCGTCACTATTCTTGCCCTGGACTAGCACCGTAATCACAAAGTCACTAAATGCTTGTGTTTGATTGAGAGACACGGCATTCGGTGCAGAGCGTAGTTTTCTTACTGCTCTGGACAGTGACAATAAATTTGAGAAATGTATTTTCGCCCACAAAATTGTATTTAGTTTCAATTGTATTTGAAATACCCACGTTTTAGTATTTAAATACACACGTCAAATACATTAGCCAATTTGTAATTAGATACAAATGCAAAATATACAAAGTATTTAAAATGCGTATTCCAAATACTTGTATTTTAAATACTGCCCATCCCTGATGTAGAGGAAGTTGATGGTAATTAAACCAGATGTTCGTCACTCGTTCACAAACATAATTGTTTTATCTACACAAGCTTGACCGATGGCTCGTTGCGTGCATTATATAAATTTAGGGATAAAGGTTGGTGTCGATTTTTGTGCGCGTTGAATGCCTGCGGCGTAACAATACAAAGAGGAAATTTCTTCTGCATTTTGGCTGTATCCACCTTGAAACTCTAAGCATATGGCGCCCGGAGTAATTTGGGAGAGTTTGGCGTTTTGCTACGCGCCATCATAATTACTGAGAAAAAAAGAAGCAAGCATCAACGAGAACAATGAAGTTGAAGAAGGATGCAAGATCTGACACAGTACCGACAGGCCGAAATCTCATGTCATCAATGGCAGATATCACTCTGTATTATAAGGCGGGTGGTACAAGGGCTTATGACACAAGACGTAATCTTATGCAAATGTGTCTGCGGGACGAAAGTCTTACTATTCAAGAAAACATGTCTGAACATCCATACCTAGGAGTCACAAATTCCAACTCAGAATATTTGTCAACGTTAGGCGTCCTGATTTATATCGGTGAGCTGGACAACTTTTTTTTGTATTTCAAGGTGATCAAACTTTTACGCCTGATTAGTAACACGGTTTTGGTGAATAATTATAAAAAAAAACTTTAGTCGAATACATTGGCCCCGGTCAATGCGAATTATTCGGAGGTATGGAACAATGGAGCATTATTCACTTCACCATTAACACGCGTTATCACTAAAAAAAAACAAGACAAAAAAAAACTAAAAGGCAAAGAGAGCTGTGGTGTTTTCATTTGTAGGTATTTCCAAAGGGGCGGATTCTTATGCTGCTATTTGCCGCTAATATGTAAATTAGAAAAAAGAAACCCAACAATGTACACGATCCTTACGTGGCTTGTCATGGTTTAGCCACGGGCACGCATCTATTATCTTCTATGGTAAATATTCTCTACTCCCCCCGTTCTCCAGCTTTTTCTCTCTTCCGACCAATGTGCGGTCGCGTGCGACTCGTTTAACAATACCTTGGAAAAAGGCTAAAGTTACGGCTCCAGCGAAAGAATCAGAACTTTGGAGTTGAGACACACTAGTGTATGTCGTCGGCGCGCCCCCCTCCCGCAAAGTGCCGTCACGTCCGTCGCTTTGTGGTTCTAACTGTGCTGAGCGGGCAGTGCGCTGATTGAAGGGTGCATTGGCGCTGAATCGGAACTACATTGTAGTGCTTGAAGACAGAAACGAAATGAAGAAAACCTGACACTACTTTGCGTGGCGTTCTTTCTTTCCCAAGCATTGCGGAAGCGCAGCACAACAATTAACGGTAATGCCAGCCGCTACCCAGAGCTTTTCACACATTTTCTCAATTTACCTCTTTGTATAGCTGCCATTGAAAAACGCTATTTTAGAACCCATTCCGAGTGTACTGCCTCGTATCTACGAAAATGGATCTCACGTGTTTCGAAAACGTTTATTTTGCGCAGATAGCGCACAATTTTATATTTAAGTGTTTGCGCTCGAACAAAGTAAACTTTAAACGATGCTCCCAGGTCTGTCTCTGGTCGGGATGGACAGGACAAATTCTCGCAATCCCCAAGTAACGTTTAGAAAAATATGGAATTCGTTGAATGCCTCGATAACAAAACTAATCCATGCTAGGCGCTACGGCATTGCACCGTATCAGTGAAACATACACTCATTTTTCGCGTCGGAACATATATACTGACCCTGCTGACACTCTCTGGGATATTTAACGTGCTAGATCCTGATATTCTACCCCATATGTCCTCTTTTTTCATATATGTCCCAGTTAACCTTCATGATTTGTCCCGATTCAGCCTGCAGGTGGCGTTTTAGTTTCGCAAACAATGATGAGTTACACTGATGACATAATAGGGGAAAATTTGACATTCTGAATATTTAGTGTGTATGTTTAGATGGGGATCCGAATATTAACGACACCCTAAAAACCTCCGATTCTTAAACAGCAACCTGTCCTTTTGCTTACTGGGATGTCATTGTGATACTTTTGAGTGTGTATGGCGTTGTCCGATGTCTCAGGGTTTGGGAATCACGTTTAATTTACACCATCTCATTTGCACCTTCACATTTATTACTTTGTGGCCGTTCTTTTGTTGTGACCATTCGTCTAAGGCACGGTTGCTAACGTAAAATGCCCGTGCAATAAATACTGGCCATTCAAGAGGCCATAATAGAGCCCCAAACGCCAAGTGGTCACGTACAAAATAAATAAAGTACTGACCGC